ATGACAGGGTGACAGCAGTAAGACAAGAGAGAGAGGGGTGGGTAGACTGCATTTTCTTGGACTGATAAGAAGGCTTTTGACACAGTTCCACACAGGAGAATAGTGCAAAAGCTGGATGACCAGGCAGGTATAACAGGGAAAGCACTTCAATGGATTAGGGAATACCTGTCGGAAAGACAACAGCGAGTCACGGAACGTGGCGAGGTGTCAGAGTGGGCGCCTGTGACGAGTAGGGTTACACGTGGAATCAGTCCTAGGACCGGTGCTGTTTCTGGTATTTGTGAACAACATGACGGAAGGAATATACTCAGAAGTGTCCCTGTTTAAAGATGATGTGAAGTTGAGAAGAATTCAATGGGACGAGGACCAAGCAGAACTACAAAGGGATCTGGACAGGCTGCAGGCCTGGTCCAGAAACTGGCTTCTGGAGTTCAACCCCACCAGTGCAAAGTGATGAAGACTGGGGAAGGGCAAAGAAGACCGCAGATGGGGTACAGTCAAGGGGTCCAGAGACTACAAACCTCACTCAAGGAAAAGGATGTTGGGGTGAGTATAACACAGGGCACATTCCTGATGCGCCCATCAACCAAATAACTGCTGCGGCATATGGGCGCCTAGCAAACCTAAGAAAAGCATTCTGTGTATGTTAGGCCCATATTGGAGTATGCAACACCAGTTTGGAACCCACACTTACCAAGCACGTAAAGAAATTAGAAAAAAGTGCAAAGGTTTGCAACAAGACTAGTCCCGGAACTAAGGGATATGATAACGACATATAAAATACTGAGAGGAATCGACAAGGTGGACAGAGACAGGATGTTCCAGAGATGGGACACAACAACGAGGAGTCACAGTTGGAAGTTGAAGAACCAGATGAATCACAGGGATGCTAGGAAGTATTTCTTCAGTCACAAAGTTGTTAGGTGGAATAGTCTGGGAAGTTTACGTAGTGGAGGCAGGATCCATACATAGCTTTAAGAAGAGGTATGATAAACTTCATGGAGCAGGAAGAGTTACCTAGTAGCGACCAGTGAAGAGGCGGGGTCAGGAGCTGTGAATCGACCCCTACAACCACAACTAGGCAAGTACAACTAGTTGAGTACACACACACACACACACACACACACACACACACACACACACACACACACACCACACTACATCACACACACAAAATACACACCATCAACACAACACCCTCAACACAACACACACACACACACCACACACACCACACACACACACCACACACCACACACACACACACACACACACACACACTAACAAAACCAACACACACACACAACACACACACACACACACACACACACACACACACACACGGCCACCAGCTCATTATACCAGCTTGTTACATTTCTTGCAACAACGACCAAAGACAAGCCAATTAAGTCATGCCAGGTTAAAATAACTTGTGGCGTGTATGATACTGTTCTTTTGAGCTACATAGTAAGAAGACCATTCAATACAAACCAATAAACTGAAGATGAAATTCAACAGTGTTTCGGAGAGTCCCAGTACCAGCCATCTCTCCACACTTGTTACAGTGGTCCTGGACTAACTGAAACGTCGTCTTACTAGTTGTGAACCGTCGTAGCCTCGGCACTGTGACTTTCTGCTCCTGACTGTCACGACAGAGTGCGTGCTGGAGTTGCGTGCTTACCTGTGATGTAGTACCAGAGTGTGTCATTGTCAGGGTCGTGGGCGTTGACGAAGGCTACTAGGTGCCCCGGCGGGTCGGTCTCCATGACGTGGGCGGGTGCCAGGGTAGGTAGGACAGGCGGGTGGTCGGAGGTGTCAGGGACATTAGCCACCCGAACCAACACCCGGGTGCTGGCACTCATCTGAGGCTGTCCGTTGTCTTGAGCCTGGATCTGTGGGCACCAGATGGGTGTGTGTGTGTGTTAGTGGTATCTCTTACAACGGGGATAAAGGTAATCACTAGCGACATGTGATAATAGGCTCTCAGCGGGATGAGAGTAGCGGATGATGCATCTCAACCTTCGTGTGTAATCTTCGTGCCTGGCACGATGTTATGGCGTGCCGAGTAATAACACTATCAGCATGGTAGCTGCTGCAGCCGGGAGCCTCTAACAACACCTACATTACTGCTTCATAACATTCATCACTAATTTCAGTTATTAACATGGGACGGATTACGTAGACGTCGCAAATGTAATTCAATTCTGAAACGAAAGTTTCGTAAATTTTCAGCACTATCGCTGTTACAGCTTCAGTTATTTTTTTTCTATTATTTTGGTTACATTACAACGGAAACAACAGGAAATGCGTAGTTTACAGCTCGAAGCAATTACCATACGGCTGTGTGGGGAAAAAAAATTGAGTTTTCAAAGTTAACAGCACCATCTAATTTTCTGGGGATTCTGGACTAATATCTCAATATTTTATCCTGTCTCATGTCCCACTCCCTCAAATGAGCTCGAGGCTCCCCTGAAGTCCTTGAAAAATAATTCCCTTACCGAATATTGGGATTTTTTTTTTCTGAGTGATGGCTCGCTGTTTTAAACAAAACGCTTTAGAAAAAACCAATCAAGATGGAAAGGACTTTTTTTTTAAGTAAAATTGGTCATACTACGGTCAGACAATACTTTGAATGGCTGGCTTTGTTCCAGGGAGGTGGAATGCACTTAGGATGTTGTTACAGTGATTAACAATTTTAAATTTAACTAGAAATATTTCGGTTGCTGCGCTATCCGAGAACGGTATCCCTGTAAATAATAAGCCCAGCCTCTTCTACCTCAATGCGTGCAGGAAAACTATGAAATATGTACATGTGTGTGTGTGTGTTTTTTCTGCAGGCATGTGCACCTGTATATGTGTAAGAATGTATGCATGTATGTTTATATTGTGTATACGTATGCATGGAAATATGTACATATGTTTACATATATGTATGTACGTTTCTGCATGTGTATATTGTTTGTATGTACTGTACACGTGTATATGCATGCATGCATTTATGTATGTATGCAACATTTACGTATATATACATGTACGGATGCATACTTGTGCATGTGTATTCATATGTGTATACATATGCATGTGTATCACTACTACTGATATCACCACCACCACTATCACTATTACGACCACCATCGCCACCTCTACTAACATCAAGTGAATAAGTATATTTTGTGAATCTATTACCAATAACAAACCAAGTCAGTCACTCTGCGATACCTGGAATTGTGACATATTGACAAATTTACCCGGACACAAACTAAACTGATTGAATAGCTTCCTAGTCATAAGATGCATCAACCATTAAATATTGAAGCAGTTCAGAGAAGGGAGGCGCATATATTTTGATACTGACTAAACGAGAATAAAATAGCTAACAGTTTTATACACAAAATGATCAGATCTATACCTATACTCTTGAATTTCACTCTCCACCGTCAATGAACGTTTAAAGCTGAGCCACTGTGGGTTTTGGAAGTTATCCCAGCACGATGCTGAGAATGAGTTCATTAATTCTGGACATAGAGCATCCGCACATGCCAAATGTTCCTAGAATCTACTCCACGTTACCGTACACAAGTGATGAAAATTTGAATCTGGTCAGATAGAGGGTTCCCGAGTTATGAGCGAAATAAAGTCGAAAAGTAGGAAGAAAAAATATGACCGAATGGCTTTGTTTACGTAATGCACACCAACACATGTCAAGAAGATATGTTATTGCCGCCACGGGTATCTTCACACCGAGGACAAGAATATGTGAAAGCTTTTAAACAAATGTGAAAAGTGTTTTATTATTCTCGAAACTGTGGTGAAGCGTGTATACTAAATTTGGTAAACCATCCAGCCTGTCCACACATACTCATAACTAAAAGCAAAATATAACTTAGAGCTACGAGAGTGCATGGATATTATCAATATATCTCGGATGAAGTTAATATACAATATTTGACTTACATTTGGGACTGGCAGGCCATTTGCCCACACCATAATAGCCTAACCTCAACTAAAGGTTACATGATAAAATTTTCACAGTTTATAAAATTTATCCTGTATATACCAGGATTTTATTCATGCTCTCTCGTAGCTGTAATATTTTAATTGTTGGTTTTTATTTTGTTTACAGCCTGTCGACTACACGAGGTTATTAAGTCTGCATATCACATGTTAGGTAATAGAATGCAAGTGAAACAAATGCGACATTTCATTGTGGCAACGTTTCTCTCTACAGGAGTTTTGTCAAGCTCCTGGAGAGCGATACGTTGCCACAATGAAATGTCGCATTAGTTCCACATTTTTGCATATCACATGTAAACCGCTAATCAAGGGTACATTTAATGTATAAACTATTGATTGAGGTAAACTATTGTATGTACAGTATTGCACATTTCTCGAGAGAGGTGTGTAACAACGTTAGTTAGGACACCGAGGATAAGCTCCTGGTGTGTGTAACAACGTTAGTTAGGACACCGAGGATAAGCTCCTGGTGTGTGTAACAACGTTAGTTAGGACACCGAGGATAAGCTCCTGGTGTGTGTAACAATGTTATTTAGGACACCGAGGATAGGCTCCTGGTGTGTGTAACAATGTTAGGACACCGAGGATAGGCTCCTGGTGAAGAGAGCACCGTTATGTACCTTTAGTATAGAGAATTGTATGCTCCACACGCAGTGGTCAGCGTCTTTTAAAAAAAAACTTCTGCTAATACAAAAATTCTTTCCACTTAATGCAAATATGCAAGTTAAAATTCTGAAATTGTAGTAGTAACAAGGTTCCCAAATACCAAAATAATGTATATAGGGGAACACTGACATAAAGTTAATTCTGCATAATATTACAAAGTGACACACACACACACACACACACACACACACACACACACACACACACACACACACACACACACACACACACACACACACACACACACACACACAATGTGTCTGCGATTAAAGAAGGAAAAACACTAGAGTGAGAGTAATGTGGTTGAGACCTACCATGAG